CGATGTCTTCGATGAGTCGCCCTTGTACGCAGCCCTTATGCCCATGTCTCGCAGCAGTGGCGAAAGTCCTGCGCCTGCAATGCAAGTTCTCGAGATCATACTTCGCCGTGGAGAGGATCCAAACTCAACTCCGAGAGAACTGGGTATTATGGGCGATCTTGATGCACCATCGCCATGGGTTGCGTTCTCTCGCAGCACCATGTCTGTCTTCAACATGCTGTCAGGGCCGTGCATGTTCCCTGCAAAACGATGGAACGACTCCCTGAAGAATGCCACCTTTAGCCGCTTGCTGTCTCACGGCGCGGACCCCAACAAGCCTCTGCTGGACCGCCCAGGAGCACGCACCGTCTTCTCACACTTCTTGGATATCTCCTTGTCCAAGTTCCTGGACGAAGAATGTTTCGAAGACTATCCAAGAACTCTAGATGCATTTCTGCGAGCAGGCGCTAGTCTGGGTGTGCCCGAGCTGATCAGGCAGGTTGGGTCAACTGTAGAAGCTGCCTTTGGGAACTTAGCGAGAAGACACCCAGAAGAGTCGATTCTAGCGTCATTTTGCAACGAGCTGAAGGGCCTCACGGCAAGATTGGCAGCTGACCCGCCGAGAGCTACGTTTACCATGTCAGTATTGGAGAAGCTCATACAGCACTGCCGCGGCCGAGAAGAAGACCTGAGCGAGCTGAAGTCGGCTATACTCCAGGGCTGCCCCGCGCATGTCAGTGAACCCCTAGCCCAGATGATCGCTTCTGAGATAACTCGTCATCCCGGACGAGGATCTGAGCTGGAAAGGTTTCCAAAACGACTGAGGCGATCATAACATGCTGAAACTGTGAGCAAGTAGCTCGAGCCGAGACAGCGAGTGGGAAGTTTTTGTGTCTCATCTGTGTCGCGTGATCGAGGTTTGGAGAATCCGTTTTCCTGCTCTGTGGAATTAGTCTTTACTTACAATAGTTTGATCGCGCTGTTGATCTTAATTTGTGGCACCTCCAACTTCTTGACCAATGCAAGCTGTAGACGAGATGTCTTTAAAAATGCATGTTGGTTTCTCTTGTTTAATCACGAGTTCACTGATTACTGTCACTACTGAAACTTGCTGTTGCTTCAGTGCCACCTATCTTGGGTGAAACCATGACATGTCTTTGCTCAGTCTCGTCGCCTCCATAATAGCCAAAGTTCAGGCCATCAGAGCCTGAGCTACGGAGAGGGCCTGCTTCTCTGCTCAGGGAACACTGTATGTAGACTGGTCTCCTGTCTGGCACGCAGAGCTATAGGTACCCCCGACCGACCCTATTTGCCCTGCATTCTTCCAATAATTTTCCACCCACATTGCGACCGTCACACCTATTCAGATTCTGGGGGACAACAACGTGTTTCGAAAGTTAGTCTCAGCTTGTGGGGAGACCCCTATTACCACCGCCTGGGACTGCCCAGCTTTGCATTCCCCGCACAAGTCGCAAAGATCCTGGATCTATGCCTCCTTGGGACGCTCAGTCGGCGACCACACGCTATAAGCATCCTGGTTCAACGAGTCGCACCTCTGAAACTGCAATAGTAGTTCGGCTATACCGAGCAAATCTCAGCTGTCAAGTCCCAGCACAGGTGCCAATGCCAGGGCCCGGCCGCTGTCATCTAAAGTCCAAGAAGCTCGACAATCGAAGCTGAGAGACAGGGACTACTCGAGTGTGGAATTATATTGCGAGTTCCATTCTCGTGCTAAGTGAGTTTTTTAGAGCCATGTTAACGTCTGTGAACGCACAATTGGTTGTTCCTTCCACTGTGATCACTTCCCATCAGGCCAGTCTCACTGCGGCCTTGAGGCGTTTGACGCGTGACCCGTGCATTGCCAAACTCCGCAATTGCCTCAATTGCCCTACAAGAACAAAACTGAAAGATGAGTTCGTTAGCAGAGAGCAAAAGTAAGACGCATGGCATCGGTCATGGATCAGCTGAAGTCGCAGTTCATGTTTGGTGTCAAGAGGACGTGAGCGCAATAGGTCGACATTACATCCATAGGCATATTAAGCATAATAATAAGCCCGGACACCTGCGACGTTTCGAGTCACCAACGTCGATCACACATTGGAACAGAAGGTAAGCTGAAAGCCAAGCTTGATGCTCGCCGGTGGGAGTGGCTTGTATATTAAACTCGAGATTCGACACACATCATCGGTTGATCATCACTTCAGTTCGCGATCAAATCAGTACTCTCGCAGCCTTCTATTCAATTATCTGTTGCCGGTCGACTCAATTTTCAGTTCCTAATTTAACCGCCAAACTTTTCACAATGCAGTTCAGCATCTCCTCCGTTTGCATCGCTCTTTTCACCATGAGCACCCTCGTGGCCGCAGCACCCGTGAGTAGTATCCTAATTGCGACGAGAACCGTAAAGTCGATGTTTGTATCAAAGCTAACGCGAGCGTAGCAAAACAACGCCCGCGAGAAGTTCAAGCAAAACAGCTGCAAGAGCCAGGCGTGCAGAGATTCGGTTGATGCTGGATGCCCTCTCAACTTCATTAATTTCAGTCTCGGTGGCTGCGATGACCCCAGCTTCTAATCGGTCTCGGACGCCGGCTTTTTCGCAATGGAACAAGCCTGGGATACAAATCCTAGGTGTCACAGCGACTTAGAGCCATGTAGTAACTGAGGCATGACAAAGACATCTTCTCCCAACTTGATATCCATAGACTTGACCGCCTCTCAATACTGAGTTCTTTATTCAACGTTCATGGTGACCGATGTTTGGTCTTTTCAACCTGCCTGTAATATGTCTAAAGTCTCATCAAAATTACGATCAGCTGATGAAGATAATGGCTCTGAACATAACGAGGCGGCCTGGGACACCTAGGGTTGTGACGAAGGGATTTACCCAAAAGTACTGGAATGTGCATACCGAACGCTTGATTCCAGGTTCTGCTAGGTATGTTACGGATCAAAAATAAAGTATGTGCAGTGTTACAAATTGCCAACCCAACTACAATGGTGTATAAACGCTTAAGCAGACTCAAATCAGATGGATATTCTCAAACTCTCAAACGCCAGCATCCCCTCGTACAACTTGGTCAATTGCCTCTGCAACCCTGAACACATTCTTGCTATTCACTGTTGACTAAATTAGTACGGGATTCATCAACGGGGACAATATTGAGCTCGAACTTACATCCCGATATGGACGCTCTTCCTGTTGACAAGAGGTAGATGTGGTGTTTCTCCCTCATCGTCTTGACTTGAGAAGCTGTGAGACCAGTGTAGGAGAACATGCCGATCTGATCGATGATATGTCTCCAAGAGCCAGGTGTGCCTCGCTTCGTGAGCTCGACGAACAAAAACGCTCGCATGCTCTTGACGCGAGCATTCATCTTCCTCAAGTCCTGGCGCCACTCCTTTGTGAGTTCAGAATCGTTGAGAATTGTTGATACAATGCGTGCACCCCATGCTGAGGGAGTCAAGTATTCAGAGCCGATAAATTGGAGCAGGTTAGACTTGATGGCAGGTACCGCGGCAGAGTCATGAGCGAGGATGTGGAGAGCGCCAACTCGGTGGCCGTAGAGACCGAAGCTCTTAGAGAATGACTGAGCGACCAAGACTTCCATCGTTCCTCTGCCGACGAAGTGACGGACGGCCCAGGCGTCGTGGTGATCATCGCCAGATGCAAATCCTTGACTAGAGAGTGCTAGTCAGTAAAGTTCAAGGCTGAAGTCGGATCAAAAGTAGGACACTACTCACTAGGCAATGTCCATGAATGGAATGATGCCGAGCTCTTCGCAAATGTCGGCAATGATGTTCCATTCCTTCTGTGTTGGGTCGCAACCCGTCGGGTTATGGGCGCAGGCTTGCAGAATAATGATGTCGCCCGGTTGTGCGTCTCGTCTAAGCGTCCTCACCATACCTTCCAGATCGAGCGACTTGGTCTTGTGATTAAAGTATGGATAGAATCGGCGTTGAGTCTTTGGTGAAGCATTCTCCCAGATTTGCTCATGGCTTGCCCAGGATGGATCTGAGATCCAGACGTTCTCAGGTCTGACTGCCTTGTCTAAGAACAAGGCTCCCATGTGAATGGCCCCGGACCCAGCAATGGTCTGTACGGTGGTCAAGCGACTCTTGACAGCCTCAAGGACATCTCCAAGGAGGAGTTTCCTAGCAGCTTCGATGAATGTTGGAAGTCCGGCAACGGGTAGATAATCGTGGTTGTCTTGGATCTGCGCTTGGGCCTATACGTCGAGTAGATTGGGGTTAGCATGAGGCTCAACAGCAACGTTTGATCGTTTTGGATGATGCGCCACCTTTTTGACGGACGGTAATGTCCAAGGCTGTGCATCGTCGTCCCTGTAGACGCCAAGACCGAGGTTGACCTTATCAGGCGTGGGGTCTGCTGCAACTGACTGCATGACAACGAATGCTTCATCGTAAGGAGCCTCAATCAGGCTAGAAAAGTGCGACTGCACAGCTAAGGAACCCATTGTTGCAGTAAAGTGTGATTGATCTTGATCGAAAAGTTTACAGAAAATAATAATTATTGCTGTTAAGAAAGGGTGGAATATCATCGTTCTTATGTTTGCCTCCAATGCTGAGGTCCGAACGCCGAAAGTGCGTGAACAAGGCCTGTCAGGCGAGCAAACAATTGTCATTTTTGGCCCCGACCGCCGAACGTGACTGCCGGCCCCAGGGATGTGACAGAAACAAATATGATGACATCTGTTGGTCGAGATCCAGGGCGATTGGGTTCACGATGCAAGGATTGGGCCACACCGCCTGCCTGACTTCCTTTTGCCTGGCAAGGGGGGAAGTTGCTTTTCCCAAGGGTGCGCTTCACTTTGCGGACTCGCGGAAGTAGGCACATCTTGCCCGAGCCATGGTCATGGGATTCTGCCACAAAAGCAAACATTTCTCATATTGACTCTAACTCACTGCGGTAATGACAGCCGTCGCTAAACTTACTCTAGACACGAAATTTTGCGAGACAGTTGAGATCCTTTCCCGCGTACCTGGTTCGCAAGGTGTTCGAATCAGGAGATTGTGCCGGAGTTGTCGGCGCAGTTGAAAACTTTCGAAATCAACCCCGATGCATACGCGTCCTTGATGGACACGGCTACACTGTATCTGTTGCCTACTCAGTTTTCGTTCTTCGAGAAAGGAATATGATATACTTACGTTCCGGCGACTACCATGAACAGGCCCACAAGGACGACGAAAACGTGAAACCCGTACATTGCTTTCTTTGATGCACCTCCCTTTCTGTACGACGAAAAGTCCTGCATCCACAACAGTGCTGGGAAGATGAGACTGAAGGGAGCAAAGCAAAGAGCGCCCGCGAGTCCGAGAAGATAGTTGAGGATGGGGACGGCTTCTGCCACGATGAAAGCCAGGATACCGAGCGTCATGTTGCTGCCAATCCAGGTTGTCCAGTGAATGACGGTGTTTGCCTGTAGATGTTGCGAATCTCTCAGGATGCGCACAAAGAGGTATTTTGCCGCCACATGTTGGTAAATACCGACACCGATAATCAGACCAGGAAGCGCAACACCATACGATATCTTCTTGAACAAAGGACCAGCGCTTCCAAAAGCAGGAGTCGCGAGCCAAACACCACACCACCGGTAAATAACCAGTGAAAATGAAAGATACATCGCCAAAACGAGAACACCGGTCACCAAAGCAGCCTTTCTGTACTGATCCGGCCGACGCATCTCCGAGATGATTGGGAGATACATGGAGGAGCCACTGTTGCTGATAAAGATGTTTGCGCTGGCGGTGATACCAGCAACAAACGTTGGGTGGGCAATCGCCGTCCAGCCGAGGTCGAAGTCACCGGGAGGGGCGACAGCAGGTCGATCTTGTTGGGTGACAGCAACAACGAAGATAAAGACGGCGATGAAGAAGGTGGCGAATCCGAACCAGGTGAGCCAACCCAGGCGGCTGAATGTGCGCACTGCGGAGAACATGGTGATGAGGATCGCACCAACCAAGGTGAAGATGACGGTGCATGCTCCGTGATTGGAGAGAGCATTGAATGCGGTCGAGATAGAGACAATACCCGCTGCAGAAATGAGGACTTGGGCAATGAGGATCTGCAACCCGACAAGTTCCTTTCCGACGCGACCCCAGAGGCGACCGCACATGTCAGCCAAAGCTAATTGCAGCCATCAGTATGTCTTCATGTTGGGGTGCAGGCAAGACCCGGCTCACTATGGCATTCGGGATGACGATTACGGAACTCGCCAAGGATGACTGCAGTGTCTAGATATCTCATCAGTATTGTTGTCGCTGTCTTCGAGTGCGAAAAGACTGACAAGTATTGAGAACGTGCCACCCAACAAGAGAAAGCGCACCGCCTACGGCACCAAGGGTGGCGAAGGCTCCGGGGACGCTCAAGATGCTCATGGCGAACTGGATCTTGAGGAACATAATCGTGGCACTCTGCCAAGTGACTGTGCGAAACTGGACGCCATCTTCCGTATCCCTGAAGACTTCGTGCGTCGTCAAAGCCTGTTCTTTGAGTGAGGATATCTCGTTGTGGACCGAAGGCGGTCTGATTTTATCGTCGTTCGCCCCGGAAGGTAAAGCGTGGCCAGCATCGACTTCGTGGGTAGTCATCTTGATAGTCGAGTTTTCGTGATTTGATGCAGACGCTCCTGGGACCACAGATGCGGAAAGTCGGCTTCGTGGGTCCTATTAAATGCTCCATCATCGGCAATCCGGAGGACTACCTTATCTGAATTTATCAACTTTCCCCATGTCTTTATCATGATGCTAGCCCTTGAACAGTTAAGTGTAGCACCCGTTTGATGCGCACCCTGGCCTAGATAAGGGTAGCTTCGCGGAGATAATCCATGAAAATGCATACAGTGTGGTCGCAAGTCGGGCACCGTCTTACATCCCGACTCAATTCCGATGCGCATCACCTCATAACAACAAGCTACGCTGCGGTTGTGGACCATATCCGACTGCCAATGACAGAAAATTTCAAGAAGATTGCTTGCAATCCAGAAGGGAATCGGTGGTTCTTATCACACGCTAAAGCCATGCTAATGCACTCGCAGAGTTGTCCCGGCCATTCGGTATCCAATGCCCACTCTGGCGGATGTGCCAGATATCCAGGCATCGATCCGCTTTGTCTCCTAGGCCTGCAGTACGGGGACTGGACCCTTGGTTGGTATTTGGACAACATTACCCGGGCCACCGCTTCTTCCAACTCCTCCATACGGATAGGGAGTGGACGTGATAATGAGAACACCAATAACCTTGACCAGAAAGAAACCGGAGTAACAGTGCACTGTCGAACTATTCGTCATATCGGCTAAGTTGTTCCGGACCATTGATACGACTTTACCGTTGCTGTGGCTTTTACCTGGCCAGGTTTTGACCCCTAAATCATTGTTCATTGGTTTTAGAGTTCACGTGGGACCCATGCGAATAGTAACATTCTCTTGCGGCGATGTTGTTTTACATGGTCGCGGGCGACTCTAAGGCCCGAATCCAGGCGAAAAGGGTTTCTCTTCGTGCGTTTGTGTAAAACTTCTTGGTGCGGAGTGTCCAAGTCCAGCAGTCGGGATATCTAGTGCTGCGAATGTGAATGAACACGGTACTTGGCTCATTGATGACGGCCAACCAAACGGCTGATGGTTTTCTATGTATCTATGTATTCAGTTACTACCAGCAACTTTTCAGGAACCCCCTTCTGGAAGTGTCTCTCACAATTGAAAAAGAATTTCTTGAGAGTTTATTGAATGTGTTGATAATTATTACTCAGTCGGTGGGCATCAGGGGTTCGTTCACTGCTCCACATACCTAACTTAATAGAATTACACTCCACTAAGATCATGACTTGAATTCTAACGCTGTTGTTGTCAACTTGAATTTGCTTAATCTCTCACTTGTTCTATCTAACAGCATTTCACAAATGAAGCAAAAAATATTTGTTGACGTAGGCGTCCGCAGATAGACGGAGGAGAACGTCAAAACATAAATATGCGGCCAGTGTGGATTGAACACACGACCTTCAGATTGATTGAATGAAGTTTCTCGGGCACGAAGTCCGCTTCAGTCTGACGCTCTCCCAACTGAGCTATGTCCGCCGCTATTGTTCATGAGCAGCAGAGGCTACCACGCCATTATGGATCGTTGTTCGCTGTTTGGGTGGTTGAGAAGCAGTCTTAGTTTGGTCGGTGACGACAACGAACAGCGGGTTGGTCGGCCCTGAAATGGGACTACTACGTCTCATGACGGGGCAAATAGCAGATACGATCAGTACGAGAACTTCAAACTTGGAATCCCGTAGAAATGGATAGAGCGCAATCTACAGACTATGGTGTGCGAGAAGACGTAAGCGCAAAGAGAACATGGACTTTGATAGGTAAGGTAGGTAAGCTTCGGAAGCTTATCTTGGTCGTTCTACCTGAGGTAGTTAGTCAAGTACCTGAGTGCAACACCTCAGGTTGTTGATGGACTGATATAAACATCAAGGCGTGGACCTGAAAGAGACTGAGAGAAACAAAACTCGAACGTGGCGAAGACCGTACTGGTTCGTATGCCTCATCGCATAACGGGCTCCAAGACATGACAAGGTGTCCTGTGCCATGGCTTTTCTCACGTGGGATTGCTTATTGAGCTGAATTACTAATACAACTACTAATTGTTGGAATTGCATGGTCATTCATGTGTTCATTATGCTGCTAAGAGGCTATCACTAATTGCATACAATTTCGAAGCCTTTCCTGGTAATCGCTGTTTGTGGAAAATGTTGCTTGGTTTTGGTGACATCAACGTGTAGAAGGTTTGGTGGCAGCAACAAGAAAAAAACATGACTCGAGATTCATACCGCGCTCACTGTCTTACGACGCAAACCTTTCGCTCCAAGTCAAGCCTGGAAAGCCATGGGGCAACCCCTAGCTTGACTAATTCTCTCTCTCGTACGTTCCATGTACTCCTTGCCTTTGCATCTCTGTGCGTCAGGGCCAACTTCCGGGATGGTGTATCCGTCCGGATGATACTTTGAGCCTTCATCGCCAGGTAAGTGTCCGCCAATCAGTCTGGTATAGAGAGCCGAAGGACTCCATCGCCACCAGAAGCTCGGCTTGACGTAGTATGGGTGTGCGAGGTAGTTTGGTAAGTACATTCGGCCAGTCTTCTTGTCCACGTCTTGAATCATTGGGTTGGTCCACCATTTTGGTCGAGGCAGACAGAAGTACTTGAGGACATTGCGTCGGAAAGCGACCAGGTTCTCGAAAATGAAGAGGTCCAACTTGCTGGGGTCCTCGTACCTAGAGCCATAATGGGTCAGCTATTGATTCTGTGCGTCCAAAACATCAGTTGGTTGGGCTTCTCACCCCATGGCTCGTCGGAGTACAGGTTCCATCAGGCAACGCAATTGCCTGAACACGAAGTTATGCGTAAACTTAGGGAAATCCATCAAAAGAAGAGTGATGTTCGCGTGTGCCAGCTTTTCATTTGAGATGGCGTGGACCATATTGTGCTCTTGGTAGTCTAAGCACCACTTCTGCAGCGCTTCCAACCAGGCTAAGGCATCATCTTTTTGGCTCATGTGAGGAACTAAGCACTCGTAGGAGATGCCCATCTCGTTGCCTAAGTCTTTCCAAAAGATAGCCAAGGCATTCTTCTCGAACATGGTCAGGTCCCTCCATTCGTACAGTGCGGTCCAGCGCATAGGTTCGAGGACAAAGAGGCTGAGAGTGTAGAGCATATCATCGTTCGATATCTTGCCGGCCTCTCTCCAGCGGCTATGGAGGAAGTTGACGCGAGAGATGGCATCTATGTTGCGTCGAGAGTCCGGTGTGTTGTAGATGATTTCGTACATCAACACGCCGGTGTCTGTTCGACGCTTTGATGCTGTGCGATCGCCTGAAAGTTGGCTGGTGGCTACCAAGAGCTTGGAGATCGTCGGAATTCCATACGTCTGCGGACGGCTTAGCTCGAGGGCCTATTTCGGCACTGCTTCTCGCTTCTTAACTGACCTTAAAGAGTGCGAAAGACACGGATGTATAAAATGTTACGGGGAATTCCCTGTCCGAGAGCTCACGCATTATCGAAGCTGCGTCTGACAACGGCAATGAAGCCATTTCTTCTCTTGTCTTGTACTGGGAGAACCTCTGCTGGAACCCATCTCGGCGACGGTATCGCAGGACCCGAACTGCGAGCATATAGGCAGTGATTACCAAAATTACTGGTAAGAAGTACATGGTGTGTTTTTCCCTGGCTCGCAGGTGAAGAGTAAGAAGGGTGGGAAAATGAATGTCTCGAAAGCGAGGATGACGGGACCGGATGGCCTTTGTTTTATTATTCCCTAAGCATCATGCGGTGCGACTTTGGAAAGGAGTTTCCACATTACCCCAGGCAATGCATTTGATTTAGCCCATCTTCTCGTTTCTTTGACCCTGGTCCTCGGGTGACGCCCCAAAATCGTCTTCTTTTGACATCAACAATGCGAGTCGACTTACACGTGTGATGCGGGGGTGTCTCAGAGCCACCAATCATCAAATTGGGTAAAATTCATGCAGTAGTGCAGATCTGCCGGGACGGGGGCATTCTGTAGTGCGCTTGGCGCAAGCCAAGAGAATTAAAACAGCACTTAATGGGGCTAAATCTGACAAGAAAAACCGGAACCCGTCGGGCTTCCGGGTGCGACTATCAGACGAGGTTTGGACTGAATCGAGTTAGCTGGTCAGTTGGAGTCATACAATTCGACTCAGACCTGATCGGATTGGTAGGCTTTGAACTTCAGGTCGTCGGAAAGGGCAGTTCCCAAGGATTCGGTTCACACACACGGGCCAGGCGCCATTCTTCTAGTACTTGGACCGTCCCCGGATGACAGGTGATAGCCCCCCCGAAAAGCAAGTTTCCTCAATTTGCCCAGTGACCAAGGTGATGAGCATTGCAGATAGAATTATTCTGATTCGTCGACCCATGCTCGAGGTCGCGACTAGGCTGCTTCGTTGTCTGTTTGGTTCAAGAATGGAAGCTTCGGCAGGCTCTGGTCACCCTGAGGAATTGTTCTTGTGAGGCACCTGTTTCCGCCGGTCGCGTAGAGGGTTTTAGTTAAGCTTATGGGGCAAAATGCTGAAACTGGGAGCTAAGTTGGCAGATCTTCGATCTCGGTGATGACCAACCCATGTTGAAACTGTCAATGGGACTGATACTCCAACTTTAGATGTAGTCAGTGAATTCCCACATTAGCCTTCTTGACTCAACAGTATCTGTGAGTCCGGGGTAGTATCTGTGCCACATTTGACTTACTTTAGACGTCTCAACATCGAAATTCCAAAGTATTCACTACGTAGAATCAATCGCGGTATTCGGACACCAATGCGCGATGCGATAGTCGTGAGATGTTGGTGAATAATGAGTCCAATCTGATGCTTTGCGTTGAGATCATAGCAGTCTACCATATTTCGACGCACTGATTTGGCGCCTTTGATCTACGAGACAAGGAGACCCCAACGATCAGCGTGCTGCCATGAAGAGCTCGCCCACGTAGGGTAACCGTCTAAAATAGCAGCAGGCACACCCAGCCAACTTTACCGGAGTTGCACCTCAAATTCATGTTGATCTATAGACCATACATAAATCGAATTTCGAAACTTGAGCTTTTTCAGTCATCCACACCGGGCTCAAGAAATGGACATCCGCTCCGTGACCCCGCCAGCTCGATGTTGAGCCTTGAAGCGGATGGCGACATGTCATATGCCAACAGCCAAATTTACCGACGTTTCTTATACTCAGCTTTCGCAATCCTGGATAAATTGACTCATTATGTGTACTCTTATTCAAGCTGTCGAACGTGAGTGCAGATTCCATGCAAAGGTGTCGTACGATGTCGGGACTACCCGCCCCGTAAACGTTGTTGGTATCAATACATGGCCTCGCCAATATTAACAATATACTCGACCGCATTGCCGTTGCCACTCACATATTATCGGTCTCGAGCTCGAAGTGTCGAATAACTAATTCGAATAATCATACTATCTTACGTTGTCCCAAAGTGTTGAGAGTTATTATGCAATGCCCCTTGTTAACTTTGAGAAAACGTAAATTTGAGAAGAGTGAGATACCTCAAAATGTGTGGTATTCCGAAAGCAATAACTTCTCTTCGTAAGATACCACAAGTCTGCTCCTTGGCAACTGATGAGATTCCGCGGAAAAAAGGCACTTTACTTAAGTACTTTTGAGCGAGGTCTAATGGCTGCCTTCTTTACGTCGGTGTTTGCAAAGTTCCAGGGTGTTTTGAGATCTCGATCCTAAGTGTTTAGACATACTAAGTCTAGTTTGGCTCTTAATTATGAAAAACCTGGCCGACCGAGTCTACGAAAGTGGCGACTAGCACGACTGCCGGCTGGCCTTTTGCTCAAAAATGATACATAAGCACGTTAAGACAAGTGCTTAACTTTTAGACTGGTTTAAATGATAGATTCAGAGCCTATGGTGAACATTTCTAGCCTCTCACGGTCCCATTTCGCTGTCGGGATACCAATCAAAAGCGACGCTTGTGTGCTGATAACTTCTTCCATTTCCTATCAATAGGGTAAAAATAACAGTGATCAATACAAAATTAATTAGAAAATACAGCCTTTTATGATTATGACGACATGTTGGCTACCTTTTTGGTGGTCTGAGCCTTGGCAGTGCTCCTGCGCAAATAGTCCAGGTAGAGTAAAGTCGGATCATGTTTAGACGATCGCATCCTGCGATGAACTCAGAATTCATAATTACGCCTAAGATCAATCGTGAAAAGGAACCGACTATTACCCCATGGCAAGTCTAAAGGCCTATCTCAAGATGGTAGTTGAAGACATTGATCAACTCTCATGTCTACGCGTGATCAGTCACCCCACAAGACTGCCGCCGCTCTCCCTAAATGCTACCACGAATGCTGCGAATGTTATCTTTTTTAGTGATGTTGAATTTACAAGAAATGGTGCTATCATTCCGCTCTAATAGCCCCTGCATCCTTTCACATAATTGATTTCGCTGTTGTGGTGACCGCTGTAGCGATCGGTGCACTTTGTCTTTATCCTTCTCATTCTCATACACAGGTGAATACCTAGCTACGGAAATCTCAAGGATGTAAGCCAATATGATCATGCAAGATGATGAAATTCTGAGCATCTCAATTGTCTCCATCTTGACCTCAGAACAGTAACATTATTTCCGACTTTGGTCTAACGCAATACGATAGTAGTCCAGGGAGTGTACCTGTAGCGTTCTCAGAAAGCTCAATGATGAAATATTGCTCAAGTGAAGAGAGAGAGAGCATCCGTATTGCATCAAATGTGAAGAAGGAACAAACGCTGCCGAAAAGTCCGAATTAAAGGTCGCATGGGCTCGGGCATTATTCCGAATGTGGGCTCATCAATCACCGTTCTGGACCTTCAGCTGCCTTCCTTCTACACTGGTCTCGAGAAACAGCCGATTACTGCAGCATAAAATTGCATGGTTCAAGTCTGGCAGTGTTCATTGCGGAACTACTTGAAGACTTGTGCGTCCGGGGGCGGGTAACATGTTCATGTTACCTATAATCATTCGTGAGACAACTCAATACCTCGGTTGACCGCAACTCAATGGTCAACCCTCTCCTGATCAATCCGCTCGAAATCTCGCAATCCCTTTACATCTTCTGCGTGCCTTGATACCAGATTCTTAGATTGGATGATTGCTCATGTGTCGCACTTGAAAACAAGGCTGCAAGGATTGGGAGAGATAGACTCAATAACTCTTGTAGTTGGAGAATAACTTGTAGTGAAGTTGATGACCGTCATGGAAACTTACTTATAAACTTGCCACATATTTACAAAGACATTGATGAGCTTGTATGTCCAGTTACAACGCGAGGGAGAAACAGTTCGTCAATCCGCACGCCTACGCAAAGCCGCATAGCCTCACCGAGACTTACGAGTCATTTGTTCGGAAAAGTGGAATGGGAAGGGCGAGCCGCCGCCCTGCTCTTAGCCCCCTCCTAATGCCCGCGTTCCCGACTGCCTTCCGCCAGTAGCACTGGCCCCATTTTGACAAAGGTCAAGAACCCCGTTAGTGTGAAAGAGACCCGGTGTTCCAACCCGCGTTATATCCCCCACGAATCCACACATATCAAACCTGAAAACTTGGGGGGGGGGGGGCAAGGGCAGCGTGGTGTGAGAAGCGGAGTTTCTCGCAACCGCTTGAGTCTTGACAAGTCGTGTCTGGGGCCTGATCATCAGCGTCATTGGCCCACTACCGCGCTTGAAGTAACAGGGAGCTATGCGGGGTTTTCTCTCCGCAAGTAACGTGGGCATTGGTACATCAGTAACATCGGACGACCTAGCAGGCTTGCATTAGCTATTGAGCCATGTTGATTCCTCCCGAAGTTCACGCGGATGCTACCATTTCCCGACCGTCAAAGACCGAGCCGAGCAATATCTGTTACTTTGAACGCCAAGGAAGAAAGGCAACCCCATGGAGCACGCTATGGATCCCAGACAAACGATATATAGCAACGATATGTCCCGTCCATCTGGTAGAAGTTCTGCTTGAGACATCCCCATCTCGACCTTCCTCTCAAACGTCATATCTTCAATAATGGGCCACGCAAAAGAAGCAAACGCCAAAGCCGTCGGCGCCGAACTGGCGGCCGTCCTACCTGACATTGGCCCCTGGTACAAGCAGGCTCACATCCTCCGCCTTAACCTCTGCATCGCCTCCCTCATCATGTGTGCCTCCGCGAACGGGTACGATGGCTCCATGATGAACGGCCTCCTTGCGCTACCCCAGTGGCATGCCTTCATGAAGCAACCAACAGGCGCCTGGCTAGGCTTCGTCAACGCCGCCTACTCCCTCGGCAACGTCCTCGTTTACCCCGCCGCCGCGTGGGTCTGCAATAAGTACGGCCGCAAGATGGGCATCTACATCTCGTGGGTCTGTCTGGGCACCGGATCCATCCTGCAGACTGCAGCACCAAACGACGCCGCCTTCGTCTGCGCTCGCTTCCTCATCGGCTGTGCTTCTGGATTCTTCCTCTCGGCGCCTCTGTTAATCACGGAAAACGCCTATCCGACGCACCGCGGGATGGTTTCTGCTTTGTACAACTGTGGCTGGTACTTTGGTGCGGTGGTGGCCGCCTGGGCGACGTACGGCACGAGAAACCTCGACCACTGGGCGTGGAGGCTGCCCTCGCTGCTGCAAGTGACTCTGCCCGTGCTCTCGATCCCCG